CTTTGTGGAACACGTTCAGTCCTTAGCAAGAAATTCAGCTGGGATTCAGGTGAATTTTCCGTGAAAACCAAGATGGTAAGTGCATTTGGAGAACTACTGCCAGTTTTCACTGTGATCTTGAACATAAAGGCTGGGATATCCCAAAATCCGATTGGACAAACTCTCAGTTGTGTGTCCTACTCTTTCTTGGGATCTCTACCTTCGTATTATGCGCTACTATTCGACCAACAGTCTGTGAACGAAGGATTCCGGACGCCTGTTTTATGTATGTATATATATAATTGTACTAATGCATGTAATACATATATATATTACCTTTATATTTTCACTCAATTTCTACCGAATCCTGCTTGTAAGTGGCTTCGGAAAACAGCTCACTAAATTCCATTTGCATCGCCATGGACAAACCTTTGGAAGTGTGCGCACTGGTTGACCCAGTGTAAATTTCGGGTACACTTCAGTGTAGTGTTCCCGAGTCACTGGGTCTATTTTAGATGATATTTTCCTGACTTAAGTTGGATGGGAGTCTTTTGTAATTCAGCTTCCCAGTTCGCTATGTATATTGGGTGTATAGATCACAGGTCCATGATTTGGAACTTGCTAACCGATCGTGTCGATTGGCTTAGATCCCTTTAGTGTGAATCTTCATCATGCAATCACGACTGAAGACAGTCAGTCACCATTTTTGGACGTGATGTTACCGTTTATCAACTCAAGAACGATGAATCGGAGAGTGCACCGAGGAGTCCACTGAGTCAGCCAGTCCGCACACTTTCAAGCCTTTGTTCAATTGCTATGATATATGAATCCCGTACGCTGTTTGTTTTGTCGAGCACCATGCTGGTATTTCAGCAGGTGTGTCCAATCAACTCTGAGAATTGTAACATGGTCCCAAATCTATCAATCCTGATTCAATCCCAACTTCATAGCTGGAAATGCTATGGGCGGCTGATTACCAGACTTTGGTTTTCTGTCTCATTCGAGCTTCATAAGTGATAGTCTGCCCCATAGTCGACATTCAAAGCATACGATGATGGGAAACACTTGACTGTGATTTCAGGCACTGGATTGAAAATGGATAATGCACGCTCCATCCAGTCGCCCGAAACATCGTTGATGGAGGGGGGGTTGGCTGCCTTGTGAAGGATCGGTCCTGCATCAACGTTCTCATAGCGAACCACTTCGAACGACATTTGGGGATTTAGAAGTAATAGTCGAATGAAAAATCAGTTTACATGTTTATGTATCCCACAAACTCTGCTTATTTGTTTTCTTATTCGTAGATTCTAGAGAGGATCAGCACTCTTAAAAATACGCGTATGGGTGTCACATCGACTCGGTCTCACTGTAATCCAAAAGTAAACCTTCTTTCTAAATCGGTCATGGTAAGTGTGATCGCCCGAATTGATGATGTACAAGCCAAGTGTCGAGATGATGCCGCCCGATCGTAATACCGTATATTTGATTGATCCTGGTGTTACGGTTATAGCATATTTCATCTGCATTGCACCTCGGACGTAATCAGGGATATTTGATAATCCAGTAGAGCGGTTCTTTCTAAACAATAAATTACTTGCTCCCATGACACCCCGTCAATACTTGTACTTTGCTAAAATCCCTGATTACTTAATCCTCAGCCTGGTGGTCAATGAGTTATCAGGTGGGAAATTATTAGGCCACAGTTTGCCATGTCATTTGTTCCACGCCGTTTTACTGTCTCCGATTTGCTTACTTTGATTCGAAGGCATCTGGGCGTAATTTTTGCACTGCAATCAGTGAAGTTGGGCGGTAGCCCGAGC